CATCAGCAGCAGCATCATCGTTTGAATCGTCATCATCAGCAGCATCAGCATCATCATCATCATCATCATCATCATCATCAGCAGCAGCAGCAGCAGCATCGTCATCATAATCAGAATTAGCATCATCATCGTCGGCATCATCCTACGTTTCATCATCATCATCATCATCAGCAGCAGCAGCAGCAACATCATCATTATCATCCCCATCAGCACCACCATCATCATCATCCGCTTTCTACTCTCCTCCTACTCCTCCTCATCATCATCCTCCCCGTCATCAGCATCCTCATCACCATTATCAGCATCATCATCATCAGCAGCATCATCATCATCGTCCTCCTCCTCCGTTCGGTTTTTTTCGCTCTTGGTTTCAGGGTCGGAAATGACGCAACCCTCCTCCTCCTCGTCCTCCTCCTCATGCTCCTCCTCTGCATTCGGCATTTCACGAGGAGGAGAGACGAGACACCTCAGGACCGAAAAGCAAGGATCGAGGACCCAGGTGTTTGAGACTGTTCCCGCCCTTTTTGGACCTCCTGGGGCGTCCTCGACGCAACGGCTGTATGCCCGTTCAAACTCAGGTCAGAATGCGCCCCAAGAGAGATTGGCGGATTACTTATGAAGGAAACCCTGGATGTATCACCGGTGTTGCAACACACCCTGCCGTTGACAGTCCCCTCCCCCAAGACACTGTCAAGGGGGGTCACAACTAGGGGGATCGCCACTTCTTCGAGGAACCGCAATTTCCTCTAGGAAGTGGCCACACGAGAACACCCCAGAGCAACCCAAAACGACCCTGAACGACACTTCGATCCTGGTGGATCCTCGATGGTCAGGAGGCGCTGGTGACCGCCCTGGTGGCGACACCCCTTGGCACTGCCCGATCCCCACAATTCCCTACAAGAGTTCTGTTCTGCTGCGACCCCTTGAGCTGTGGGGTGCACGCACGGCCTCGGCATCCCGCTGTCTGCGAGGGCACCGTAGACGCCTGCGCAATCGGTCGCACTGCGAAGAGCGATGCGCAGGCATGGCAGTCTCGTTAAACGCAAGGAACAGGCAGGGCCACGGAGATCACGGCATTAGCACTGGCTCATCGTCTTTCGCTCGGCACAGGCACTGAGCACGCCACCGCGCAGCGCCGCAGGCAACATCAAAACACAGGGTGCACATGTTGCATGGGCCGCACAGCTTGGGCGCATGCACCGCAGGCATCGGCGCAGACCTACGCCTGCCCGTGAGGGGCCCCCGAAAAGTCACAAGGTAGGGGGAGGGCGCCTGGCCCGCATCTGCCCAAGAGGCGGTCCCCAGACCGCTCCCGGGGGTCTCTCCTGGCCCGTACCTCGAGACAGACGGGCTTGGCCGTGGCAACGAGAGGCGCACGAGAGCGAGAAAAATGCCCGCCGGGGACCGCCGTCGCCTGGACGGGCCCCTCTCCGGGAAGGAGGGGTGGGCGGGCGGAGCTGGGGAGGGGCGCGCACGAGGGGGCCTTCCAAGAAGACCCCCCCCCCCTCCCCCTCAGCCCCCCGCCTACCCCCCCTCTGCGCGTGGCCGACCCGGGCCGGCCTGTCATCCTGAGGCGTGTCCTGACGGCCCCGCAGGGCCCAACGAAGTCCTCCAGAGGCCGGCAACGGCGACAAACCTCGGCGAGAAACCTCTGCCCTAACTTTTCTGACACGCTGGAGGTCCGGGCGACGACGCGAGCTACCCTCTGCCCTGGCACTGCGCCAGCAGGGGCGTGTCGCTGCCATCTTCTCACGAGATACTGAGATCGCAGCGGGGAGGCCACGTGGTTAGGGGTTACTAGCCGATGCCAAGGTGGGTTATACCTGGCCCAACCTGGCCTATGGGCGGGGTACAAGTGCCAAAGGTGGCTTCGAGGGTAAAAATATCCGGGCGGTGTGGATCTCATCCACTCAGCGAAGTCATGCATCCCACCCCTGGGCTAGTCAGGGTGCCCGCAGCCCACTTGCAAGCAGGGTTTGGGGCCATATATGTATGTGTATATATATACATACATACATATACATATATAACTCTTTCATAACTGTATCTATATATGTATATATATATACACACACACACACCGAGGCATCCGTTCAGAACCCCCCGCCCACTTAGCCACCTGCGCAGCGATCCCAGCAAGGCGCGGGGAGAGGGGGGGCGGGCGCGCAGGCGGGCGGCGCGGGGGGGAGGCGGGTGCGCCGCTGGTGCTCGTCTTCTCGGGGGGAGGAGGGCGGCCGCCTGCCCCGCACGGCCCAAGGAAGCTGCCAAGCCGCCCCCGGCAGAGGCACTCATGGCTAGCCCTGGGGCATGCCGAGGCTTCTGGTGCCCCCTTCTGCCAGATGGCCCTGACGTCCTCGCGCCGAGAAGAAGACATCACCGCAGGGAGGGGGAGGGGGGGGGGGGGGGGGGGGGCGCTGTCGGCCTCACGAGCGCCCTCGTCGAGCCCGGGGGCCGTCGGAGAGCAGCCCGGGGTGTCAGGCTTTGTCCCCGGGCCTCTGGGGGGCCACGCCGTGGAAGCAAGGAAAAGCAAGGACAACGCGCGCAGAAGGCAGGAGAGGCTACGACGAAGAGGCACGTCGGCTGCCTGGGGCAGCGCAGCGCAGGAGGCGGCAGCAGGGCCCTCGGGCACAGCCGCAGCGGCCACGCCATCGACGCCAGCAGCGTGGCGCACGCCGACGGCACCGACAGCATCGACAGACACCCACATCCGTCGGACTCCGCCACGGCACGCGCACCCGCAGCAACGGCACGAACCGGCCTGTGGCCTCGAAGGGCGGCGGGGGAGGCCCCGAGCGGGGGGGCTCTTCGGAACGCCGGGGCAGGCGACGGGCAGGGCAGCTTCGGCGGGCGCGGGGCGCCTGCCCCGCGCGCGCGCGCCAGGCGGAGAGTCTCGTGATCGGGCCCTCGGCAGGTGGGCGGCACGCGGGGAGGCACGGCGTCCCAGGGCCTGAGAAGAAAAGAAGGTCGTCTGCACGCACGAGTGGCCCTGCGTCAGAGTGGCCTTGGGTGCGCGGCTGTTGGGCGGGCCACGGGAGGAACACACCACGAGCGCGCAGGACGCCACCGTCGCGTCGCCTTCGGCGATCGCGGGACCCCAGTGGGCACGCATCAAAGGTCACTCTGGCGAGAGGTCACTTCTGCGCCTAGTCGAACTGGGGAGGCGCGTGCACTCGGGACGAGAGGCTGGCCCTGGGGAAGGCGTCCAGAGCCCTGGGGGGGGGGAGGGGGGCCGCGTCTCGAACAAGCCCCAGCGGCGGAGGGGAGGGCACTCGGCGCCCAGCTCCGACAGCGACGAATCCCCTCCGATCTTCTTCTCCTCGTTGTACTTGCTCTCGCCGTGGCGGGTCAGATAGACCGTGCGCTTGTAGGGGTGGGTTGCGCCGAGGAACTGCGCGACCTTGCAGCCGATGTAGTTCTTCGTCATGTTGCAGACAATGCTCTTGCGGTTAAAGTTCAGGAGCTTCATGTAGCTGAGGTCGTCCTCCGTACCGTCGTCCTGTATCGTACAGTAGCGGAGGCCGTAGTCGTCGATCTCTGCCTGGAGACTTCCTCTGGGTAGGCCCCGCTCCTCCTCCACGTGCTCGACGTACTCGCGGCGATGCTTCGTCGAGTCGTTGCAGTGCACCTCGAGCCGCGCCCACCCGACTCGGTGGATCTGGCTGCGCGGGGCGGCAGGAGGCTCGAGCCGCTTGGCCCGAGCCCCGCTTCTGCGGACAGGGAGCGCAGGGAGTCCACCGCCTGGAGCCCGGAGCGGGGCGGGCGCGGGGCGCCAGGCAGAGGGGTCCAGGCTCGGGCGCCGCTGGAAGTGCCCCCCCTAGCCCCAAGGCGCCCCCGAAGGACTCCCGGGGAGGCCGCCCCGCGGCCTGCAGAGCCCCCCCCCCCGCGAGGCCCAGAGGGCCCCCGGGGGCTCCAGCATGGAGCGCAAAAACTGGGGGCACCCTCTTTCCGTCACCTGCTTGGCATGGGGACGGAAAGCGCGTTTATTTTGTGAGGGCGCGATGTCGCTGGCTTGGTGTCTTGGAGCCCTGTTGGTGTTAAGGCTTCGGTACGACATACAAAAATCTAGCAACCAACCTTCCGAAATTACATTAATATTGCATTTCCAGTCCTTCCTGAGGGTCGTTTTGGGGCTCGTTTGGGCCGTCTTGGCGCCCTATTGGGCCGCCCCGGGACCCTCTTGGACCGTCTTGGCGGGCTTGGACCGTCTTGGGGCCCTCTGGGGACCCTCCTGGGTCCCCTTGGGGACCTCCTGTGGCCCTCTAGGGCTCCCTTGGGAACCTTCTGGGGCCCTGAGGGGCCTCTCTTGGGCTGTCTTGGGCCCCTCTGGCGGCTCTCTTGGGCCGTCTTGACGCCCACTTGGGCCGTCTTGGGGGCCGCTGGGGCCGTCTTGGGGACGCTGTGAAGACCAAACAAACGAATATGCCCAAGGGAATGGCACGATTTTTGCCTCCTGGGGGTCCCCTTTGGGGGCCTCTTGGGGCGTCTTGGGGGCCTCTTGGGCTGTCTTGAAGCCATATGGGGGCCCTCTTGGAGCACTCTTGGGCCGCCTTCAGGCCCACTTGGGCCTCTACGACGCCGTCTCGGAGGTATCGTGGGCGCTTTGAGGGCCGTCTGGGGGCCTCTTAGGCGCTCTTGGGGCTGACTTTGGCTGTCTTGGGCCGAAAATTGCCGAAACTTGGGGGTATTAGATCTGAGGCCCGGGCTGCCTACCCCCACCACACCCCTCCTTGTTATTTCTCTAGACTAACGGATCGCGACGCTACGCGCGCTTTCCGTCATCTGACACCTGGGCTGCCTACCCTTCCACCCACACACCCTTGTTATTTCTCCCTCGCGACGCTGCGCGCGCGTTCCGTCATCTGCCGCCCCCTGCTGGCTTGCCAGAGGGGTGCCTAGCGTGCTAGATGTCCTGAGGAGTTGGTTTTGGTTCTTTTCTGGAAGAACTCCCCCTGGGGCTTCGACCGATGCCGCCAGCCATCCGAAAGGCTCTTCCAGAGGTGGTTGCAAAGGTTTTCCTGCTCCAGATGGCTCCAAGATGGTCCAAGATGGCATCCAACACGGCCAAGATGGCTCAAGTTCGCCGAAGATGGTGCAAGATGGCCTCCAAAACGCCCCAAGAGAGTCCAAGATGCCTCCAGTTTCGCCTAAAAGGCCTTCAAGACGGCCCAAGATGGCTCCAAGATGGCCCAAGACGGCCCAAGAGGCCCCCAAGAGGCCTCCAAGACGGCCCAAGAGGCCCCCTAGAGGGCCTCCAGGAAGACCGAAGGAGACCAAAGTCTGCGATTTCCCTTAGGAGTTTGGATGTTAGCATTGGTTTCTTTTCGGCCTTCCGACGACCCGAGACGGCCCAAGAGCCCCCAAAGATCGCCCCAAGATCGCCCAAGAGGCCTCCAAGATGGTCCCAGAACGGCCCAAGAGGCCCCCAAGATGGCCCCAACAGGGCCCCAAGACGGCCCAAGAGCCTTCCAAGACGCCCAAGATGGCTTCCAAGACGGTCCTGGAGCACCCCAAGAGGTCCCCAAGTCGGCCCGCAGAGGCCTCCAACACAACTTCCGACGGCGTATCACAGGCCAGGAACGCCCTGAGACAGGCAAGGAGGCCCCCGAGAAGGGGCCCAAGGAGGCCCCCAAGATGCCCCCAGGAGGCTCCCAGGAAGCTCCCAGGAGGCCCCAAGAGTGCCTCCAAAGGAGGCCCCCGAGAAGGGGCCCAAGGAGGCCCCCAAGATGCCCCCAGGAGGCTCCCAGGAAGCTCCCAGGAGGCCCCAAGAGTGCCTCCAAAGGCTCCCAAGATGTCCCCTCCTCCTCCTCCTCCTCCTCCTCCTCCTCCTCCTCCTCCCCCTCCTCCTCCTCCGCGTCCTCGTCCTCCTCCTCCTCCTCCTCCTCCTCCTCCTCCTCCTCCTCCTCCTCCTCCTCCTCCTCCTCCTCCTCCTCCTCCTCTTCCTCCTCTTCCTCCCCCTTCTCCTCCTGATTGTCCCCGCCATCCTCCGCCAGGTGTTTCCCGAAGGGTTTCCACAACGGCTGGGGAAACACATGGTCCAGTAGCTTGGTAGAGCTCTTGCCACAAAGCTCGGCCACATGGGCGATTCCAAGAGGCAGGGGGCGGCGGCGATTCGCCGTTGGCGTCTTAGATATATTGCATCGCATCTTTTGCGCCGCATGCAATAACTCACTGTTTGGGGGTCGATGCTGGTGAACAGTGAGCTCGGAAAGGGATGACGGAGCAGGAGGAGGAGGAGGAGGAGAAGAAAGAGAAGAAGGCGGAGGAGGAGGGGGATGGCGAGGAGGGGCCGGCGGTAGCTCGGCCGCGAGGCACTCTGGCTGAAGAAGACGCCCGCCTGCACCTGGGACCCCCCCCTTCCCCTCCCGCCCCCCTCCCTCAACTCCCCCCTTTTCGTTCTTTGGCAAGCTGTTGGGCCTCGCGGACCCGTAGCCTCAGCCCCCCCCTCCTCCCGTCCTCCCTCCGTCCCTCCCTGCCTCCCTCCCCCTCCCTCTTCCCTCCTCCATGCCGCCTCCCTTCACCGTCCCTCCCCACGCCCTCCTCCCGCCCACGGCGTACACCAAACCTGGAAGCCGACCGAACCAGGACCAACTCGAGCGACCGCGGCTGAGCGGAACGCAGCGGCACGGCAAGGCAGCAACGACAGACCGAGTCGAAGCGACCGAACGCAACCAAGTGCGACGCAGCCAAAACGACCGAATCGTGGACACTCTTGGCCCTCCCACCCCATCCTCCTCCTCCTGCTCCTCCTCCTCCTCCTCTTCCTCCTCCTCCTCCTCCGCCTTCTCCTCCTCCTCCTTTTTCTCTTCCTCCTCCTCCTCCTCTTCCTCCTCTTCGTCCTCCTCCTCCTCGTCCTCCTCCTCCATCCCTCATTCATCCATGCCTTCCTCCCTCCTCCCTCCCATCGCCCTCGTCCCTCCATCCTCCCTCTACCATCCTCCTTCCGAGACGCATTCCCTACTGTCCTCCATCCTGCCTTCGTCCTACTTCCAGGTCTCTTGCATATTCCCACCCTCATCTATCATCCCACTCCCCAGAACCCTCCTCCTCCTTCTCATCTTCCGCCTCCCCATGTCTTCCGCATCCTCCTCATCCCCCTCGTACACCCCATCCAGTATCATCACCATCGTAACCAACATCACCGTTCTCTTCGTCCTCGTTGTCGTCCTCCTGTCGCACCTGCGACTCCAGAGTCTGCTTGATCCAGCGGCGAGGCCACTTGGAGCTCGCGCTCCACATCGACGGCAGGGCCTCGGAAGCCCCTCCTCATCCTCCTCCTCCTCCTCCTCCTTCTCACCACCACCACCACCACCACCACCACCACCACCCTTCTCGTCATCTTTCTCATCTTTCTCCTCCTCCTCCTCCTCCTCCTCCTCCTCCTCCTCGGCATCATCATCATCATCATCATCATCATCATCATCATCATCATCATCATCATCATCATCATCATCATCATCATCATCATCATCATCATCTTTCATTATCCCCCCTGTTCTTCCTCACACTCATCGGTCCAACCATCCTCATCATCCTCATCGTCCTCATGATCATAAGCATCAGCATCAGCATCATCATCATCATCATCATCATCATCATCATCATCATCATCATCCTCATCCTCCTCCTCCTCATCATCATCATTATCATCATCAACATCATCGTCATCGTCATCATCACCATCACCATCACCATCACCATCACTATCATCATCATGATCATCAGCAGCAGCATCATCATCATCTTCATCATCACCATCATCATCAGCAGCATCAGCATCAGCATCAGCATCAGCATCAGCATCAGCATCAGCATCAGCATCATCATCATCATCATCATCATCATCATCATCATCATCATCATCACCATCATCATCATCATCATCATCGACATCATCAATGGCATCATAATCCTCATCAGCATCCTCATCATCAGCAACATATTCAGCATCATCAGCATCATAATCATCATCAGCAGCACCACCATCATCAGCATCATCATCATCAGAATCAGCAGCATCATGATCATCATCAACATCATTATCATAGGCATCATCACCGGAACCATCAGCATCAGCAGCAGCACCGTCATCACTATCAGCATCATCATCGTCGGCATCATCATCAGCATCAGCATCGTCATCATCAGCAGAAGTATCAGCATCAGCATCGTCATCATCATCAGCAGCAGACGGCTCAGCAACAGCATCAGCATCGGCAGCATCGTCAGCATCATCATCATCAGCAGCATCATCATCATCATCAGCATCATCATCAGCATCATCACCGTCGTCACCAACAGCATCAGCATCAGCAGCAGCATCAGCATCAGCATCATCAGCCTCTTCATCATCACCACCACCACCATCATCATGTCCACCACCTCCTCCTCCTCCTCCTCCTCCTCTACCTCCTCCTCCTCCTCCTCCTCCTCATCCCTCCTCATCATCAACATCATCATCGGCATCATCAGCATCATCAGCATGACAATCAGAATCGTCATCGTCATCATCATCAGCATCATCAGTATCAGTTTCATCACCAGCATCATCACCATCAGCACCATCATCAGCATAATCAGCATCATCATCAGCAGCAGCATCACTCCTCCTCCTCCTCCCCCTCCTCCACCTCCTCCTCCGCATAAACCGCATCCTCATCATCAGCCTCTTCATCATCACCACCACCACCGTCATCATCAGCAGCAGCATCAACATCGCCATCATGATAATCAGCATCATCTCAGCCTCCTCGACGGCATCCTCAACTATCCTCATCCTCATGTTCCTCCTTCTCGCCCATCGTGCTCATCATCTTCCTCCTCTTTCTCCTCTTCCTCTTCTCCATCATCTTCATCGTGCTCATCGTCCTAACCCCCGTCCACCCGTGTGTGTTGTCCTCAAAATTCCATCACCATCATCGGCATCATCATCAGCAGCATCATCATCAGCATCAGCATCAACATCAGCATCATAATCATCATCATCAGCATCATCATCATCATCATCAGCAGCAGCATCATCATCATCGTCGTAATCGTCAGCATCGTCATGAACATCATCAGCATCAGCATCGTCATCATCATCAGCATCATCATCATCATCAGCAGCAGCAACATCACCAACATCGTCATCATCATCATCATCATCATCCTCATCATCATCATCATCATCATCATCATCAGCAGCAGCAGCAGCAGCAGCATCATCGTCGTCGCGCCCCCTCCTCCTCACCGTGGCACACCATCAACATCCGACACCTTGCCTTGCGCACGTCGAGGCGCGGAGGAATGCCACGGGCTGCCTGGGAGGGACCTTGTTTTTTTTATGAGGGGCGCGTCCCTCGCAAAAGAACGTGCTGGTCCGCGTCCCGAGCTCCTAAAGACGACCCAGGCAGGCGCGCAAGGCAGCCAAGATGGCCTCGAGCAGCCCAGGATGCCTCGAAGAGGGCCAAAGAGGGCCACGAGCGGACCCCCAAGTGGGCCCGAAGACGCCCACATCAGTGAGTTTCTGTGGGGCGTTGGCAGAGGTTCGCATCCTCGCCTTCTCGGGCTTCCGTCAGCTCACGATGGCCCAGGAACCTTCCACAATGACCTCAGGTGGCCCCCATGAGAGCCCCAAGATAGCCGAAGAGGACCGCACGATGGCCCAAGAGGCCTTCAGGGCGGCCCCAGACTGGCTGTAGCGGGCATCCAGACGGAGCCAATACGGCCTCGGAGGGCCCATCGACGGCCCAAGACGGCGCCAAGATGGCCCCACGACGGCCTTAAGACACCCTCCACACGGCCCAGAGAGGCAGGAGGGCCCCGAGGTGGCCCAAGCGGGCCTCAAGGGACCCCCAAGACTGCCCCGCCGGAGCCCAAACTAGCCTCAAGACGGCCAAGATGAGGTCCATGAGAGCTTCTCGAGAAGTGGAGACGACAGCTGTCACAAGTGTCGGCTCTCTTATTTCTCCTCCTCCTCCTCCTCCTCCTCCTCCTCCTCCTCCTCCTACGTTTCCTTCTC